CTCCAGACCTTGATTTCCAAATGAAATGCAAAATGTACTTTTACCTGAAAAGAGGACTTTGGAGCATTGAACAACAGTCCAGTTGTTTCTCTCCTTAGCCCAGGTGAGATGCTTCTGACGTTTCAGAAGTGGCTTGGTAGCTCTTCTCCTGAAGACGTCTGAGCGTGGAGACTCTTGATGCACTGACTCCAGCTTCAGTCCACTGCTTGTGAAGCTCTCCCAAGTGTTTAAATCGGCTTTGCTTGACAGTATTCTCAAGCTTGCGGTCATCTCTGTTGCTGGTGCACCTTTTCCTTCCCAATTTCTTCCTTCCAGTCAACTTTGCATTTAATATGCTTTGATACAGCACTCTGTGAACAGCCGCTCTTTCAGTAATGAGCTTCTGTGACTTACTCTCTTTGTGGAGGGTGTCAATGATCGTCTTCTGGACCATTGCCAAGTCAGCAGTCTTCCCCATTATTGTGTTTTCAAAGAACAAGAGATACCTGCAATTTATACTGTAGGGATGCTCATTTAATGAAACTCAAATGTAAATAGTCTAATATTTTGAGAAACTGGATTTTTGACTTTCATGAGCTGTAAGCTCTAATCATCAAAATTAAAATGTTTTACTTTACATGTAATGAATCAAGAATATATGAAAGTTTTACAAGTTACAAAATATTAACTTTTTCACGATATTAAATTTTTTTTGAGATGCACCTCAAAAACTGATACAATATGATATAACAAATCCACACAATTCAGTTCAATTCAAATGTTCAACCTAATTCTTTCCAAAACATGCTCAGCTGGATAAATCTTATGTATTATTTTGTAGGACACAATTTTGTTATCAATACAAAATTAGTATCACATTTTCCATGCGTTCTTTCAATCGATATTAATAAAGAAGACCAAAAAAATAAAAAAATCTTGCTGTAGAAAAAGCATTTCTTATAACATCAATGTTGAATTCCCAAATAACCCCAATTAGATATAGAAGTAATTCTCAGTTAGATGTAGACCTAATGGTGGTTGATTTGGGTCTGCTCTCTCAGAGGTTGTCTGTACAGGAAGTCCCGCCTCTGTTGAACGGTGACAGCAGCAGTCGTCCTCAGCAGCAGCAGTCTCACCAGAACCCCTCCAGTAATGGACACGCCCACTCCGGCTCTTCAGCCAGCCCCGCCCACTCCCAGCCAGCAGTGGGCGTGTCCGGGTGTCAGTCTCCTCCCATTGTTAGCCACACCCTCAGCTCCGCCCACAGCACCCCTCTGTCCCGTGTGCTGTCCAGCTGTCCTGCTGCTCCCGATCTCTACTCCACCTCCACACTGCCTCTGCCCAGGAGACAGTCCAGCGACACTCGCCAGGGACTCATGGGTGTGTGTGTGAGTGAGCGTGTGAGAGTGAGCGTGTGCAGGTGTGTGTGAGTGAGCGTGTGTGCGTGTGAGCACATGTGAGTGAGTGTGTGTGTGTGAGTGAGCGTGTGTGCGTGTGAGAGTGTGTGTGAGTGAGCTTGTGCACTTGTGTGTGAGTGTGTGTGTGTGAGTGAGCGTGTGTGTGTGAGTGAGTGTGTGAGTGTGTGTGAGTGCGCATGTGAGTGAGCGTGTGCACGTGTGTGTGAGTGTGAGTGAGCGTGTGTGTGTGTGTGTGTGTGAGTGAGCGTGTGTGAGTGAGCGTGTGTGAGTGAGCGTGTGTGAGTGAGCGTGTGTGAGTGAGCGTGTGTGAGTGAGCGTGTGTGAGTGAGCGTGTGTGAGTGAGCGTGTGTGAGTGAGCGTGTGTGAGTGAGCGTGTGTGAGTGAGCGTGTGTGAGTGAGCGTGTGTGAGTGAGCGTGTGTGAGTGAGCGTGTGTGAGTGAGCGTGTGTGAGTGAGCGTGTGTGAGTGAGCGTGTGTGAGTGAGCGTGTGTGAGTGAGCGTGTGTGAGTGAGCGTGTGTGAGTGAGCGTGTGTGAGTGAGCGTGTGTGAGTGAGCGTGTGTGAGTGAGCGTGTGTGAGTGAGCGTGTGTGAGTGAGCGTGTGTGAGTGAGCGTGTGTGAGTGAGCGTGTGTGAGTGAGCGTGTGTGAGTGAGCGTGTGTGAGTGAGCGTGTGTGAGTGAGCGTGTGTGAGTGAGCGTGTGTGAGTGAGCGTGTGTGAGTGAGCGTGTGTGAGTGAGCGTGTGTGAGTGAGCGTGTGTGAGTGAGCGTGTGTGAGTGAGCGTGTGTGAGTGAGCGTGTGTGAGTGAGCGTGTGTGAGTGAGCGTGTGTGAGTGAGCGTGTGTGAGTGAGCGTGTGTGAGTGAGCGTGTGTGAGTGAGCGTGTGTGAGTGAGCGTGTGTGAGTGAGCGTGTGTGAGTGAGCGTGTGTGAGTGAGCGTGTGTGAGTGAGCGTGTGTGAGTGAGCGTGTGTGAGTGAGCGTGTGTGAGTGAGCGTGTGTGAGTGAGCGTGTGTGAGTGAGCGTGTGTGAGTGAGCGTGTGTGAGTGAGCGTGTGTGAGTGAGCGTGTGTGAGTGAGCGTGTGTGAGTGAGCGTGTGTGAGTGAGCGTGTGTGAGTGAGCGTGTGTGAGTGAGCGTGTGTGAGTGAGCGTGTGTGAGTGAGCGTGTGTGAGTGAGCGTGTGTGAGTGAGCGTGTGTGAGTGAGCGTGTGTGAGTGAGCGTGTGTGAGTGAGCGTGTGTGAGTGAGCGTGTGTGAGTGAGCGTGTGTGAGTGAGCGTGTGTGAGTGAGCGTGTGTGAGTGAGCGTGTGTGAGTGAGCGTGTGTGAGTGAGCGTGTGTGAGTGAGCGTGTGTGAGTGAGCGTGTGTGAGTGAGCGTGTGTGAGTGAGCGTGTGTGAGTGAGCGTGTGTGAGTGAGCGTGTGTGAGTGAGCGTGTGTGAGTGAGCGTGTGTGAGTGAGCGTGTGTGAGTGAGCGTGTGTGAGTGAGCGTGTGTGAGTGAGCGTGTGTGAGTGAGCGTGTGTGAGTGAGCGTGTGTGAGTGAGCGTGTGTGAGTGAGCGTGTGTGAGTGAGCGTGTGTGAGTGAGCGTGTGTGAGTGAGCGTGTGTGAGTGAGCGTGTGTGAGTGAGCGTGTGTGAGTGAGCGTGTGTGAGTGAGCGTGTGTGAGTGAGCGTGTGTGAGTGAGCGTGTGTGAGTGAGCGTGTGTGAGTGAGCGTGTGTGAGTGAGCGTGTGTGAGTGAGCGTGTGTGAGTGAGCGTGTGTGAGTGAGCGTGTGTGAGTGAGCGTGTGTGAGTGAGCGTGTGTGAGTGAGCGTGTGTGAGTGAGCGTGTGTGAGTGAGCGTGTGTGAGTGAGCGTGTGTGAGTGAGCGTGTGTGAGTGAGCGTGTGTGAGTGAGCGTGTGTGAGTGAGCGTGTGTGAGTGAGCGTGTGTGAGTGAGCGTGTGTGAGTGAGCGTGTGTGAGTGAGCGTGTGTGAGTGAGCGTGTGTGAGTGAGCGTGTGTGAGTGAGCGTGTGTGAGTGAGCGTGTGTGAGTGAGCGTGTGTGAGTGAGCGTGTGTGAGTGAGCGTGTGTGAGTGAGCGTGTGTGAGTGAGCGTGTGTGAGTGAGCGTGTGTGAGTGAGCGTGTGTGAGTGAGCGTGTGTGAGTGAGCGTGTGTGAGTGAGCGTGTGTGAGTGAGCGTGTGTGAGTGAGCGTGTGTGAGTGAGCGTGTGTGAGTGAGCGTGTGTGAGTGAGCGTGTGTGAGTGAGCGTGTGTGAGTGAGCGTGTGTGAGTGAGCGTGTGTGAGTGAGCGTGTGTGAGTGAGCGTGTGTGAGTGAGCGTGTGTGAGTGAGCGTGTGTGAGTGAGCGTGTGTGAGTGAGCGTGTGTGAGTGAGCGTGTGTGAGTGAGCGTGTGTGAGTGAGCGTGTGTGAGTGAGCGTGTGTGAGTGAGCGTGTGTGAGTGAGCGTGTGTGAGTGAGCGTGTGTGAGTGAGCGTGTGTGAGTGAGCGTGTGTGAGTGAGCGTGTGTGAGTGAGCGTGTGTGAGTGAGCGTGTGTGAGTGAGCGTGTGTGAGTGAGCGTGTGTGAGTGAGCGTGTGTGAGTGAGCGTGTGTGAGTGAGCGTGTGTGAGTGAGCGTGTGTGAGTGAGCGTGTGTGAGTGAGCGTGTGTGAGTGAGCGTGTGTGAGTGAGCGTGTGTGAGTGAGCGTGTGTGAGTGAGCGTGTGTGAGTGAGCGTGTGTGAGTGAGCGTGTGTGAGTGAGCGTGTGTGAGTGAGCGTGTGTGAGTGAGCGTGTGTGAGTGAGCGTGTGTGAGTGAGCGTGTGTGAGTGAGCGTGTGTGAGTGAGCGTGTGTGAGTGAGCGTGTGTGAGTGAGCGTGTGTGAGTGAGCGTGTGTGAGTGAGCGTGTGTGAGTGAGCGTGTGTGAGTGAGCGTGTGTGAGTGAGCGTGTGTGAGTGAGCGTGTGTGAGTGAGCGTGTGTGAGTGAGCGTGTGTGAGTGAGCGTGTGTGAGTGAGCGTGTGTGAGTGAGCGTGTGTGAGTGAGCGTGTGTGAGTGAGCGTGTGTGAGTGAGCGTGTGTGAGTGAGCGTGTGTGAGTGAGCGTGTGTGAGTGAGCGTGTGTGAGTGAGCGTGTGTGAGTGAGCGTGTGTGAGTGAGCGTGTGTGAGTGAGCGTGTGTGAGTGAGCGTGTGTGAGTGAGCGTGTGTGAGTGAGCGTGTGTGAGTGAGCGTGTGTGAGTGAGCGTGTGTGAGTGAGCGTGTGTGAGTGAGCGTGTGTGAGTGAGCGTGTGTGAGTGAGCGTGTGTGAGTGAGCGTGTGTGAGTGAGCGTGTGTGAGTGAGCGTGTGTGAGTGAGCGTGTGTGAGTGAGCGTGTGTGAGTGAGCGTGTGTGAGTGAGCGTGTGTGAGTGAGCGTGTGTGAGTGAGCGTGTGTGAGTGAGCGTGTGTGAGTGAGCGTGTGTGAGTGAGCGTGTGTGAGTGAGCGTGTGTGAGTGAGCGTGTGTGAGTGAGCGTGTGTGAGTGAGCGTGTGTGAGTGAGCGTGTGTGAGTGAGCGTGTGTGAGTGAGCGTGTGTGAGTGAGCGTGTGTGAGTGAGCGTGTGTGAGTGAGCGTGTGTGAGTGAGCGTGTGTGAGTGAGCGTGTGTGAGTGAGCGTGTGTGAGTGAGCGTGTGTGAGTGAGCGTGTGTGAGTGAGCGTGTGTGAGTGAGCGTGTGTGAGTGAGCGTGTGTGAGTGAGCGTGTGTGAGTGAGCGTGTGTGAGTGAGCGTGTGTGAGTGAGCGTGTGTGAGTGAGCGTGTGTGAGTGAGCGTGTGTGAGTGAGCGTGTGTGAGTGAGCGTGTGTGAGTGAGCGTGTGTGAGTGAGCGTGTGTGAGTGAGCGTGTGTGAGTGAGCGTGTGTGAGTGAGCGTGTGTGAGTGAGCGTGTGTGAGTGAGCGTGTGTGAGTGAGCGTGTGTGAGTGAGCGTGTGTGAGTGAGCGTGTGTGAGTGAGCGTGTGTGAGTGAGCGTGTGTGAGTGAGCGTGTGTGAGTGAGCGTGTGTGAGTGAGCGTGTGTGAGTGAGCGTGTGTGAGTGAGCGTGTGTGAGTGAGCGTGTGTGAGTGAGCGTGTGTGAGTGAGCGTGTGTGAGTGAGCGTGTGTGAGTGAGCGTGTGTGAGTGAGCGTGTGTGAGTGAGCGTGTGTGAGTGAGCGTGTGTGAGTGAGCGTGTGTGAGTGAGCGTGTGTGAGTGAGCGTGTGTGAGTGAGCGTGTGTGAGTGAGCGTGTGTGAGTGAGCGTGTGTGAGTGAGCGTGTGTGAGTGAGCGTGTGTGAGTGAGCGTGTGTGAGTGAGCGTGTGTGAGTGAGCGTGTGTGAGTGAGCGTGTGTGAGTGAGCGTGTGTGAGTGAGCGTGTGTGAGTGAGCGTGTGTGAGTGAGCGTGTGTGAGTGAGCGTGTGTGAGTGAGCGTGTGTGAGTGAGCGTGTGTGAGTGAGCGTGTGTGAGTGAGCGTGTGTGAGTGAGCGTGTGTGAGTGAGCGTGTGTGAGTGAGCGTGTGTGAGTGAGCGTGTGTGAGTGAGCGTGTGTGAGTGAGCGTGTGTGAGTGAGCGTGTGTGAGTGAGCGTGTGTGAGTGAGCGTGTGTGAGTGAGCGTGTGTGAGTGAGCGTGTGTGAGTGAGCGTGTGTGAGTGAGCGTGTGTGAGTGAGCGTGTGTGAGTGAGCGTGTGTGAGTGAGCGTGTGTGAGTGTGAGTGAGCGTGTGTGTGTGTGTGTGTGTGAGTGAGCGTGTGTGCGCATGTGAGTAAGTGTGTGTGTGTGTGTGTGTGAGTGAGCGTGTGCACTTGTGTGTGAGCATGTGTGTGAGTGAGCGTGTGTGCGTGTGAGTGTGTGTGTGTGAGTGTGTGCGCATGTGAGTGAGTGTGTGTGTGTGTGAGTGAGCGTGTGTGCGTGTGAGAGTGTGTGTGTGAGAGTGTGAGTGAGCGTGTGTGTGTGAGTGTGTGCGCATGTGAGTGAGTGTGTGTGTGTGTGAGTGAGCGTGTGTGCGTGTGAGAGTGTGTGTGTGAGTGTGAGTGAGCGTGTGCGCATGTGAGTGAGTGTGAGTGAGCGTGTGCGCTTGTGAGTGAGTGTGTGTGTGTGTGTGTGAGCGTGTGCACGTGTGTGAGTGTGAGTGAGCGTGTGCGCGTGTGAGTGAGCGTGTGTGCATGTGAGTGAGCGTGTGCACGTGTGTGTGTGTGAGTGAGCGTGTGTGAGTGAGCGTGTGCGCATGTGAGTGAGCGTGTGGACGTGTGTGTGTGTGTGTGAGTGAGCGTGTGTGCGTGTGCGCATGTGAGTGAGCGTGTGTATATGAGTGAGCGTGTGCACGTGTTTGAGTGTGAGTGAGCGCGTGTGAGTGAGTGTGTGTGTGAGTGAGCGTGTGTGTGTGAGCGTGTGTGCGTGAGTGTGTGAGTGAGCGTGTGCGCATGTGAGTGAGTGTGTGAGTGTGTGTGTGTGTGAGTGAGCGTGTG